ATAGCCTGAAATTTAGAAATCCCCCTGCCCATGCATTTATGAGTAAACTCACCCATAGTGAATGGATAGTTCTCTGAAAACATCTGCTCAATGGGCAGCAGCAGTCAAAAAACCTAACAGAATGTTAGGAACCATTAAGAAAAGGATAGATAGACAGAAAATATCGTAAAGCCACTATATAAATCCATGATACACCCACACCTTGAATACTGCATGCAGTTGTGGTCACCCCATGTCAAAAAGATATATTAGAATTGGGAAAGGTATAGAGAAGGGCAACAAAAATGATTAGGGGTATGGAACAGCTTCAGTATGAGGAGAGATTAAGAAGACTGGGACTGTTCATCTTAGAAAAGAGATGACTAAGGAGGGACATGCTAGAGGTCTATAAAACCATGACTGGTGTGGAGAAAGTGAATAGGGAAGTCTTATTTACCTCTTCACATAACACAAGAACCAGGGGTTACCCAATGAAATGAATAGGCAGTAGATTTACAACAAACATAAGGAAGTACTTCTTCACACATTGCACAGTCAACCTGTGGAACTCCTTGCCAGGGGATGCATGAAGGCTAAAAGTATAACTGGGTTAAAAAAAATTAGATAAGTTCATGAAGGATAGTTCCATCAATGGCTCTAGCCAACATGATCAGAGACAGAACCCCATGATCTGGGTGTTCCTAAGCCTCTGACTGCCAGAAGCTGGGACTGGACAATAGGGACAATAAACTGCCCTGTTCTGTTCATTCCCTCTGAAGCATCTGGCACTGGCCAGTGTCAGAAGACAGAATAATGGGCTAGATGGACCAGTGATCTGATCCAGTATGGCTGTTCTTATGTTCATCCTAAATCTTTGTATGTCCCCCATTCAAGCACTAACTAAACGTGATCCTGCTTAGCTTCTGAGATCTGATGAGCCAAGGGTGGTGTGGCTGCAAAAAAAGGTTTGCTCTCTTTAAAAGAGTAAATTAGAAGCTTGCTTCTGCTCTCACTCCTGCCTGTGTAAATCAGTGTATCACTGACACCAATACTGGTGTTACACCAGTGTGAGAGCAGAATCAGGCCGTAAATCTCAAAATACTCTAATATAGAACCTGTTCTTGACACTTAAACCTGCTCTTGAAAGAGTCCTTCCCCACCACATGTGCATAGCCAGGGCTTGCAACACCTATGCCCGGCAGCCCACTTCTGGCTTTCTCTTACAGTTGGGCGAATACCAAAACCCCAATCTGAACTCCCCCTCTTTGGGGAATGTTTGGATCCAGACCAGATCTGAACTTTGTGTCTCAGATCTATTCATAATTAACGCACAAGCCTCTTTATAATTCCCCCATTAAATTTGAGTCAAGATGGGAAGTGCTCCTTGGAAACCTCTATTCTAACATTGTTACTAGAGAGAAAACCCATATCTGTCTGTGTTCCTGTACTGCACGCACCATCCTGCTCTCTGATCCTCTCTGAAAAGCTGAAATTCTCCGGGTGTGCACAGTCTTGAATAAACCCTTCTCTCGGGGCTGCTCCAATTTATACCTTGTCACAGTGTGTGGAAAAAAGTGTCTTCTAATCCCAGCTGGTGATTTTCTCTAGGATTTTAACACGGGGATCTTTCTTGAACTTTGTAACAAACATGGCTCACAAAATAATTTGTTCTTTAAAAAAAAAAACCTTAACAAAAGAGGGGGAGGGGAAGCAAAGGAGGGAAAAAATATTTTCCTCCAGTTTTTGTTTAGTAACTGGCGGACATGTGTGCATCAGGCTCAAGTATTTCATGGTCCGTTTTACTTCCACTTGATTTAACTTTCTTGCTCTAACTTTGAAATCGTTCCCACTTTTCACTGAAACCTTCCATTTTGCTCTCCATATTGCTTTGATCATCAGCTGTGACTTCTGTTTGATCTGAGATTTTCGTTGGCCCCATCATATCCTTCCAATGATAACAGATATTTTGTTTTTGTCGCTGCCATGGATTCTCCTTTAACAAGAAAAATGCCCAGCTTAAGTCCATTGTGGAGTTGTAGGCAAGGGGCTACTGGAAGTGAAGCACAGTGGGTAGCTGCAAGTGTCAACAAAGGATTGAGAGTAGGCAGGGAGCTCTTGAAAGCCAAGTAAACAGGCTGTTGGGAGAAATTGTGGGCTAGTGGAGAGAACACAAGACTAAGGGTACGTCTGTACTACCCGCCGGATTGGCGGGTAGTATTTGATGTATCGGGGATCGATTTATCACGTCTCGTCTAGACGTGATAAATCGATCCCCAAATCAACGCCTGTACTCCACCTCAGCAGGAGGAGTAAGCGGAGTCGACGGGGGAGCCGTGGCGGTCGACTTGCCGCTGTGAGGACGGCCAGGTAAGTTGAACTAAGATACTTCAACTTCAGCTACACGAATAGCATAGCTGAAGTTGCGTATCTTAGTTCGAACCCCCCCGGCTAGTGTAGCCCAGGCCTAAGTGCCAATAGAATTCTTGGGTTCCATTTGTAGCCAGGCCACTGATTTACTGGGGAGCATTATGGACGGTGCTTAACATGACTCTTACATGAGAATGTTTTGAGTGCTCCTATAGAGCGATCCTGGCTTGCTTTTGGCATAAAGGAAGGAGAATGCTCCCCAGCACACCAATACAACAGAACACAGGAGGTGGTTCTATTACTTAGTAAACATTAGAGCGGGTCCCTGATTCATGTGCTGTGAGAATGCCACCAAGTGGAAGACGGGTTTTCCAAAGAGAGAGAGAGAGAAGAGCAGGTTCCCTACATCCCCAGTATTACCAATACTGTGCTATACATTTTAAAAAATTGAGGAAAATCCTGTGAAGATTGTTGGCTTGTTTCTGGAGAAGTGCAAGATACTCCTTGAGGTCTCATCATACAAACCCACATCCTACAAGCTGAGAGACTATGTGTTTGGCAAACATGTTGGACATGGAGGGCCAATGGAATCCCTCCATTAAAATCAATAGCATTACGCCAGGGATGAATTTGGTTCAGAGTATTGGTTGTACGCTCTGCATTATCTGCTCACGGACCTGGAGACAACCTGGGGGGAGAGACATGGATGAGAAGGGCAAAAGCACAAAGGAAGCTTCCCCAATTGTCTAACACCCCCAGGATCAGGGTGAAAGGGACTCTGCTGGGCAGTCAGACACTACAGAAGAGTTCAGGTATTCCGGTGATGGGTATAGTATAAAATCTTAGATTGACAGAAAGACAGCCAGCCTGGGTAACTAGTGTACAGGGATGGGTTTCAGATAAATAACTCAGGGCATGTCTACACTACAAACTTAAGTCAACCTATGTTAGGTCAACTTACAGCCACCGCAGTAATTACTGTGGTGGTTCATGTCCACACTGCCCTTCTTCTGTCGGTGGTGTACATCCTCACCAGGAGCGCTTCCACCGACTTAAGAGAGGCAGTGTGGGAGCTCTGTTCGCAGTTCCCCGCCGGGAGCCCAGCTGCCCCCCGCCCTGGCTCCCTGGTCCCTTAGAGCCCTCCCACCTGCCCTGGGGTGACAGCCAATAGCTGATCTAAGTAATGCAGTATCTACACAGACGCTGCGTTGCCCTAACCACACCGACATAAGCGCTACGCCTCTCGTGGAGGTGGAGTTATGATGTTGGCGTAGTAGGGCACTTACATCGGCGGGAGCAAAGCTGTAGTGTGCGCACTGACATAATTAGGTTGACATAAGCTTCCTTACATCAACCTAACTCTGTTGTGTAGACCAGGCCTCAGAGTCCAATTTTCTGTATGCAGGAGGATCTCACTGATTTTCTCTGAGTGCAAGGCCCACTGGCAGTTCTGTAAATTGGTGAGTCCAGCAAAGCACAAGAATAATACCATTGACTTCAGCTGGGAGAGTTCTCTTTAAAATTGGACCTGAGTACAGTGGGGCTACTCATGTATTAAAGATAAGCATGTACTTAAGAGTTTTGAAGACAATGATTTTAAATAAATCAAGGCTATTGTAATTTATTTATTTATACAAGTGCCAGTTACTTTTATTAATTTATTATTATTAGTTATTAGTTTTTATTATTCAAATACTTCATATTATACTAGAAAACATTCAGGAGTATGTTCTGTGAAAGTCTTAAGTTATTCGTAATATAAGACCTCACCACAGCCCTCTGCTGTTAAATCTTGGCTGAGAAATGGGGTGAGACTGCTGGGTCTTTCATCAGATTTATGGCGTGTGGATTACCTGAGCGAGAATTACTGTCTCAAGGTTCTACTCGGCAACGATGCTGTATTTTTGCATCTACATCTGCTGTAAGTGCTGATTGTTGTTGTCAAAGCTCAAGGGGCCAGATTCGGATACCCTCGCTCACTCGCACTATAGTACAGTACTCTACGAGGAGTCCCACTTAGGTCAGTGTGGCTGCTTGTGGAGTAAGGTGCTACTAGGGCCGGCGCTTCCACTAGGCAACTCTAGGCAGTCGCCTAGGACGGCAGATTTGCGGGGGCGGCATTTTGCCATCCTTGGCGGAAATTCGGCGGCGGGTCCTTCACTCGCTCCGGGACCTGCCTCCAAAGTGCCCCGAAGACGTGAAGCGGAAGGACCCCCGGTGCCGAATGCTCAGAGGAGGAGCGCTGCTGCCTAGGGCGGCAAAAACCCTGGCACCGCCCCTGGGTGCTACTCAGTGTGAGTGAGGGGATCAGAATCTGGCACAAAGGTTGCAGTATCCAAATGAAACCAGCCAGGCAACTGAGCACAAAACCGAATTAGAGTAAACATTCCGGGCCATATCCTGCCATCAGATTTTAAGCAGAACTGCCCCTGCTGAAATCAAGACATCTCACACTGGTTTCATTCCCATGGAGATCAGCAGGGGAGTTCTCTTTAAAAAAAACTGATGGCACCATATGGCCTTTTAGCAGTCAAACTCCTATTTATGTTAAACAACTGCTAAATAAATAACCTACAATTGTTTTGTCATGCCTTCGAGCACAGATATTTTATTTGTCTGGCCTAATTTTTTTTTTTTCCTGTTACCCTTTCTAGGTTCCCTGCTATTCTTATGGTCAAAAGTTGTCCAAACTGGCCATTTTGAGAATAGCCTGTAACTATATCCTTTCCCTGGCCAGACTAGCTGACATGGATTACAGCGCTGACCACAGTAACATGAGCTTCTCAGAATGCGTGGAGCAGTGCACTAGGACCTTGCAGGCAGAAGGGAGATCTAAAAAAAGGAAGGTATGTTTCAAGAGAACAAAATAACACAAATAATCCAAGGTGGTTTCCTTCTTTCTCCATCCTTTGAACATTTCCTTATTTTTATTCCTTATTCTTTCCCCATTTTTTGGTTTTCTTCACCTCCTCTCCCTCCCCCCCCCCCCCAATCTGTGTGATCTTGTAACAACCACATTCCTCTCTAATCAAAAACTTTTCCATCCTTCCTATTCTCTGGGCCAAGCTCTTCCTCTCGCTACTTGCCCAACACACTTTAACATGACCACGATCCTATTAGCATTGTCTTGTGGCTGTTATTTGTTAAAACAAACCAGCCCTGGGTCGCCTTTTGTAGATCATAAAACACAATCACTCAGCTGTGTTTTCTGTTTTGTTTAATCGAACGCTTATCTCCAAAAAAAATCGTCTGACAACAAAATAAAAAAGAAGTAGCTAATGGAGACACTGTACATATAAACACATTAGCGAGATGTCTGACCTGAAGAACATATGGGTATCTTGGGGAAACAACACTAAATCTAATTACACATTGCATTCCTTCAGGTTACTTAACATTGAACCAATTAGGGGAAATCATCATCAAGCCGCGTTAAAGAGGAAACTGAGCATTCTGCCAGTTTTCCTCTAGGAAAGTGACATGGGTAAATTAAAAGAGTGATTGATGTCTTTGTTCAGAGTTTTACGACAAAAAGAGTTTTGTAAACTTGAATTGAACTTCCCTCCGCATTCTGTACCCAGTTGTCATGCAGGATAATAAATCAGCAGGACTTTAATGGATGAATGGACAGCTAAGCTGAGCAGTATTCACCTTCTTCGGTTGTAGTAAGATCTACCTCTGATTCAGAAAGGTTTCCTCATTTTTTCCCAACAAATACTTTTTTCAGAAACCCAATTTATAAATAAAACAGAATTGCACTCTCCTGGCCTCTTCCTTTAGCTGACATGATTAATATTTATGACTTAGCACACCTTTGTACTCTGTCCCATACAAGACATACACAAAAAGACAAATCCCATGCTCCAAGATGGTTACTATTTAAAATACCGACAGAAATCAGGCTGAGACACACTGAAAGGTCCAGAGGACAGAGTCGACTTAGACATTCCTTACATATATTGCTAACACTTTACGTCATTGTTTCTTAACCAATGGGGTGGGTTGCAAGGGATCACCTGGATGGTCTTATCCCACAGGTTAAGAAAAAAAAATGGCGTAATATCATGGTGAGAAGGAACCATGGCAGGGGCAGAAAGAGACCAATTCTCTACCTCTCTGTGCCTCCTGTTGTCACCCTGCCCTTGCTCCATTCCCTTCAGCCCCACAGGGCAGCAGTCCCATCCCTTACTCCCTCCTCTCCTGCGTAGCGCTGAGTCTGTGGTAGAGGACAGGACAGTCAACTTCACAGCCTTTTCAAATAGTGCTGGTGGGGTGAGAGAAGAGAGGCACAGCCCAGAACCAGTGCCCCACTTGCCCCAAACTCAGCACCCCAGCAAGCTGCAAAGGATCAGGAGATGGTGGATGGCAGACCAGTTTTTTGGATGATGGATCTCCAATAGTTTGAGAACCAGTGTCCAAGATTATGGAAACTAAAAGAAGGGTTAAAGAAATAAAAGTTCCAGATTTCAAACTGCTCCAGATTCATGGGTGTTCTGAGCTGTGGTTTAGGTTTGGACTGGTCTTTAATAAACAACTAAACATTTAAATCCTGACATTTATGCTGTTTATTCTCTCGGTTTCACTCGAACATAAAAGAAGATCTCTCCCATTTGCAGAAACTCTCACCAGACAGCAGCACATTCCCCCCTCACATACAACCACTAGTCAGCAACAATAATCACGTCACAAAACAAAATCTTCCTAACCCTCAAATTCCCAAAGAAACGCAAGCCCAGCCCTCCCCAAATGCCTGCTCAGAAATAGAAGGGGGGGCTTTGTCTCCTACACATTGATACCAGACTGATCAGTTTCTATTCCAGAGTCTCACAAACACAATGTTTATGTTTAGAGGTCCCAGCTGGGAAGGGGACATTTCAGGAAACATCCTCAGGTTTATCCAAGGCCAGAACAAGGCCCGTAGTCTCTATCCAGCAAAGCAGATTCATCCAGCTGAATCAACAAGTGTCAAGTTATCCTGGTCAGTATTTCCTAATATGCTGGCAAGAAGGCGCTCAGTCAAGGCGAAGGACAAAACTAAGAGGCATTGATTGGACACACTAACCAGTCAATAATTCCAGAAACCAGTCAGAGCGCTGAGACCAAACCAGCACTTCTATTGGTTAGCAGAATTTGGAAGCTCCCCCTGGTGCCAATGAAAGTACACCCAAGGACAGTTTTGTCACCGTCAGGGCCAAATCTGACACCTTTTGAAACTAATGGGAAGACTCCTTTTGACATCAAAGGGTGCTGGATTGGGACCTTTAAATTACAAGAATGTGATCTTTAGCCTTTAAAAATGGAGTGAGGTGAAGCTATTTAAATGTAGGAAAAACCCACTTCTTTATACCTAAAATCAGAATCCGCTTAATTTCCTCTGCCTTCCCTCTAGCCCCATAATCCATAGCGGTGTAAATATCAGATATGAAAACACTGAAATCATTATTAAATTAAAAGGCTGGGATATTTGTTCATAAAAGAACTGAGCTCTGGACTTCAGGTGGTGTAAAAAGATCTCTCTTCTGCGGGGGGTCTTCCTTAAACTGTTGGATGAGGATACAGTGTCTTGGACTGAAACCACTGCTCTCTCGTTAATTTTGAAGTCGGCACGTTTTCCAAGATCTCGGTGTGTTTTTAATCAGTTTTCAAAAGTTGCAGTTCACGGGGTAGTTCTGCTGAATTATCGACTTTGGGTTGTTTGTTCCTTGCTCTTTAAAGTTATAACGAGCCAAGTAAAGACAGTCAAGTCCCCAAGCAATGTCCTTCACTTCACTCCATCCCCCCAGTACCTTTATCTACTGTCATCTTTATTTTATTGTGGTTTGTCTCCTTCTCTCGTGTCACTCTCAATTCTCAAGCAGGTTACAGAATGTGCTATGGCACAGTGAGCTTTTCACACAAAAAGTAGCTGATTGGGGTTTGTTTTGACAGGCAACGGCTCCAGATGTTGAATTTGCTGATGATATGTAGCCTTTTGCTTTGTTTTTGATGTTGAATTATCTGCTATTCCGGACATTAGACTGTTGCTCAGCCTTTGCTGTTGCAATAGGAAAAACAATGGATTTTTTTCTTTTCACTCCATTGTCTTAATTAGAAGAGTTGGATTTATCCTTTGAAACCTTTTATGCTAGAAAATGCTCCTCTTAACGAGTCTAAAACACAAGGTGATCTGGCAATTTATGCTGCTGTTCTAGCTGAGACTTGACTAAGGGTGTTTGGCGATCCTATTTAAAAGGAACCAAGGGTAAAATGAAAGACTTCAAATGCTTCTTTGTAAAATAAATGGCCATGGGCTATGGGGAGCAAAGGGGGAGAGAGGATTCTTATGAACGTCTTCATTTTTTAAAATTGCCTTTCAGTCTGTTATGTAAATCATTTGAGCCACCTCCTGCTCTTGAAGGCACATGCACGAATCCCAGTGAATGGGAGACCTGGATGCTCATCCATGGGCAGAATTCGGCACAGAATTCCGTATCTTACAGAGATGGGGTAATAAGCTCCTTTGAAACAGACACAGTGGGATAGGGAATATCCTGTAGTCATGGGCAGAACTCTCCGTTGGCATTATTGTGAGCGTTGTGGTCGTAAAAGCTGCGGAGGGCGGGTCAGAGAAGAGAATACGTATTATATTTTTCTATATTGTGTGGCATTCCACACACCTACAGAACACAATCCAAAGCCCTCTGAAATCAATGGAAAGATTCCCCTGATTGCAGTGCGCTTTGGAGCAGGCCCTGATAGAGTGCTAACCACACTGTGTAGAAGAGTGGCACACAATACAAACAAGCTTCATTCATTACACAGTCATGACCTACCACTAACACAAATGATCCTTTTTATTGTTCTTTTCCCTCCTGCCCACTCATCCCTACACACAGGCAGTGCCTGGGACATAAAGTCTGAGTAAATGGCTTTGCACAAGGGACTTCATGGGGGCCGTATCCTCATCTCAGGCCACAGAGCACTAACCTAGCTGCTGTTCTAGCTCATGACCTGTACTATGGCTGCTGACTCTGCAAGAGGATTTCACCAGGGGATCTACCAAGTTGTGGATACACCAGCCATGCTGCTGCCTTCTCTCCAGACTTCACTCCAAACCCCCCTTTCATCCCCAACCCCTGAGCACGGCTCCATGGCGCACACAGCGGCGGTGGCATTCCCCTTGGCCAGCCTCTCCAGGGCCTGTTGTGGGGCGCAGGAACAGGATACCTCACTAAGTATCCCACACAAATAAGTCACCACACAATGCTGGGTGCGCTTCCCCTCGCATACAGGAGAGTGGCAGCTCCACCGCCACCACCCGCTCAAACTTTTGAACGATAGCAGAGCTTGTTTCGTTATCTTTCTGAATATAATGTTAACTGTTAACCCAATGCAGTGGGTAAGTTTGCTTTTCTGTGCGGCTGCAGCTGTTTAGCTTGCAAGGTTCTTTTTTCTTTCCCTCCCCCTCTTCTTTGTTTTTGATTAGTTGTTCTGTTAGTCAGTAACATTGTTGAGTACATGGAAGCTAAGCTGGAGCAGGGAGGGTCCCCCCCCCCCGCCTCTCTCTCCTGGCAGTCGCAGACTCCAGATGTTCAGAGTGCTAGTTGGGAAGTCCTGCTGGCGCCACTTAGGGCAGAGGGCAGGGGAAAGGCACGCGAGCTGGAACCCAAAGCACTCAGTCACTGCAGGATTTGGCACATTCCCCAGCTTTCTGCTGGCACATTCCCCAGCTCTCTCCTGGCCATCTGTTCCAAAAAAACACTTTCAGAACCTCATCATCACTCAGGATACAACACTGAGAGCAGCTGTTATAGAGGCAGAAGGAAAAACCATGCAAAAGGTCTCTTTGTGAGAGAGGAAACTGGGT